CTTATGAACTTTTAATTAATACTTAGGTTATCAAATATATAATTACTATAGCAATCAAAAGAAAATACTTATGAACTTGTTTAAAATGTTACATAGCAAAATAGTAAAGGAACATTCTTACTTGAGTCTATGGATAACCAAGACCTCATTTTCCATTTCTTCCAACGATGTCAGGGATATGACCTCACCTTACAAAAGTTCTATAGAATATTCCATTAAAATTTTTACTGAATATCCTATAGAATTTAAGGGATTTTGGAACCTATTCTATGGAACGTTCTACAACACGTTCTATAGCACCTTTAATAGAATATTCTATAACATATGCCATGTTTTATAGAAACTCAATAGAATATCCTTCAGAACATTCATTAGAAGTTCTATAGAATACTGGTATCTATGGAACATTCTAACACATATTCTATGACATCCTATATGAAATGTTCCATAAAATATTTTCAATCTATGGAATATTCCATTAATGATCCTATTGAATATGTGATGAAATGTTCCATAGAATATGTTTCTATAGTATATTTATAGGATAATCTATTAAATGCTATTGGATGATAAATGGTATATTCAACATTCGTCCATGTTTCGACTTTGAAATATATCACTTTATAACAACATAATCAAAACTTCTTTCTGCCAAGAGTGAGACATACAAACAAATAAAATTCCCAAATATATGTAACAAATTTATTTATTTAAAGTTCAATTGATGCAAAGATTTAATGAAAATGCCTTGCTTAAATTACATATAAATAAATCTAGAGATTAAAGAAATTGAAATACATATATATACAACAAAGAATAAAAAACAAGTCCTATAAGTGTCCATATAACTTTAATCTGCATGTAGAACTCTAGTTCTGGTAATTAAGTCTGTCAAATAACCATTTTGTTTCGTGGATAAAACAACTGCAGCCGGTTGTTTGAAGGCTGTTTAGCTTAAATTGTAGTTAAGTAAAATTATATACATTTCACACATTTTGAGGAGGATTCAATTGAAATATTATGCACTAAGTAATTGAAAACAATATGGTGTACTGAAATTGAAATATTTTAGCTTGGTTTTTTATGAATGTATAAATTTATTCAATATTTTCTAGATAAAATTATTACCATACTGCAGTTTTCCCACCAAATAAAATGACTGTGCAAGAAAATAGCAAAAATATACTAGGCTATTATACTAATATATTTACATGTACAGAACATGTAAATAGTAGAAAATGGAATGTCATATAGTTACTGATGTCCAGATGCTTTCAACTTGGTTTTCTCAACTTGCACAATATTATTAATCTTTGGTGCCATACTTGTCATATGTCTGCCTCTTTTCCCTCAAACCTTTTTGCACTATACTTTAGACACAGCTAGAAAAGGTTAAAACTCATCAATAACTGAACCAAGATATGTATATAAGATATATTAACTTAGACCAGACATAATTACTAAAATTATACTGCTTACCATATATACTCTTAACTTTCTCTGGCTTTGGTTTTGCATCCTTTCTTTGAATTAAGCTAGGCATTTGAAGCCTTTTCCAGTGATGGAAAGTTGTTTTGCATCCACGGCACTGCATAAACAAAACCTTTCACATTTAGTATTGCTTTAATAGAGCTCCATTTTGACCTTTGGTTAGTGTGATGCTTGGACAAAAGGAAATCTGTAAATTTTAACAGTAAACACACAATTAAACACTTGAGACCTAGCTTATATTTAATTCAATTTTAATGATATATAAATTTATCTAGAGCTAGTGCAAATGTCTTGACAGAAATAATTTTAGTTGGAATGCTCTATTTATGGTGGTATAAATAAAGGTGTAAATAAAATGTTCAAATAAAAAGTTTAATCTAAAGGTGAATAAAAATTTATGAGATTAATTATAATGGTATACAGAACATATGTTGCCTATACAAACATATAGCATTTATAGCATATACAAAACACACTCACCACTGAATTCCAATACTTTAGATACACATGTTGTTGTAGATGGGTCAATGAACTTTTGATTATTTTTTTAACTTTAGAAATTTCTCATTGCCATAGCCTTTCTTTCTCACGATCCTGGTCACCTTTCACGCATTTACAAAATTATCCATATCTTCTGATTCTCCTCGCATACTAAAGCGCGTTTCACCACCCTCCTATGATTCCTCTTTGACAAATTCAAAGAATGCGTATTTTATGTTAAATACGAAAGAAAAAGCACTAAATTCTACCAGTATCAGTTATAAAACGTGAATCAACGGATGAAAAACTACAGACAAATACGCGCTCAAAATTTGAAAATAATGCGTGGCGGTTAAACAAGTCCACATAACCTTGCAGCCTTGTTTGGGCAAAACGCCCGCCATCTAACCTGCGAACGGGCATATTATGAAACAGATTTGACTCATATGAGATATGTCATATGTGTGAAATATTCGTGAATTGTCTTTACAAAACGATGATTTCTGCTGAGAATTTTAACTTTAAGACTTTAAAAGTATGTCGAGAGAACCTTACAAAAATGCGAATAAAATTCTCGACCAATGAAGTGTAGTAAAAATGTTATATTTTAAATTGCATAAAGGTCTGATTCTGTATAAATATATTCTATGAGAATATTGTGTACAGCATATCTATAGAATATATTATTGGATATTTAATGTGAATGTGCAATAGAATATTCTATAGCATCTCTAAATTCTATAGAATATTGTGTACAGCAGTTCTATAGAATATATTTTACTGTGAATGTGCCATAGAATATTCTATAGCATCTCTAAATTCTATAGAATATGGCAATGGAATATGCTATAGGATAAGAAGTCCTATAGAATATTCTATGGGATTTAGAATATGTTATAGCATATTCTATAGGATTCTATAGAACATTTTCGTAAGGGCAGTGTTGTTGACGTTTTCCGTTTCAACTAATATATCCAGAAAAATTAAAAATGACTATTCTATATGTGATATGCAATACAATACTCGATAGAATTAGAGGGCCTTCCATGCATGATATTTCCAACCTTCAAATATATCTCTTAGAAATAAAAAATTTTCAGTGATATTTGTTTCAGTTGCCTGGTTGATAGAGGTAGTTGCTTGGTTTACCAGAGGTACTTTCTGGGCATCAGAGATACTTGCTTTGGTGGCGGAGATACTCGCTTGGGTTTCAGAGGTACTTGTTTGGTAATCATAGCAAAAAATTGCCTGCTTGTTAGGAGTTAACATAGTTTGGTTGCTATTCCAGTCCTGAGAGTTAATTGTTGGGGAGCTGTGTGGTCCTAAATATACAGGAGTAAGAAATTTGAAATGAAAATTTTTAATCAGTTGGTTCTATTTTATTGGTTGTCAGTTGATAACAGTACTGTTTTTACCACACTAATTCAATTACCCAGAGATTCATCTTCAGTATTCTCAATATCATTGGCAACTACAAACATATAAATATAGCATTATAGCAACATTTATGTCATTATTGTCATTAGGTGTTTCTTATAGCCCTATAGCTTGTAGTGTGGGGCCATCCTAAGTCCTATGTCACACAACATCATGAAGTCCTGGTTTTTGGGGTACTTTTATATCCAACAACATGGGACTGATTTTCAGGGCCAAAAATATAACTTGACCTGATTTCATCATTTCTGTATGGATTTTGTCATAAAAGATCATAATTGAGGGTGACAAGAATTAAAAGTTGAAAAAATTAAAAACTGATGTTAACATACATGATTGGAGAACTGTGCTGTATATGCTTTAATTACATGCAAATCAGTTTGTTATAGGTAAATAATCCTTACTTTCAAATTAAGTCAGAGACCTTGCACAAGTACAAGTTGACTCGATTATAAGGCCTTCCAATTGCTTCCTTATATCTCTCAACTGTAAATGGCTGTGAAGTTCCTGGAATAGTGTTAACCAGACCAAAGTCTGGGTACATCAGAGCACAATCAAAGTCACCAGAATCCCTCAGGTGTTTATTATGAGCCAACTGCTTGTCCATCCCTAAACTCTTCACTTTACAACTGGAATCATTTTCTTTTTTTAAAATCGAGAGGTAGAAGAGAACCTTTTTTGACTTTTAGCTGCCTTGCTACTCCACATTCTACCAACCCACTATTTATCTATATAATTACAATTTCATAATAATCATAGATTGCATCATGTAAACTGATATGACAACTGTAAATGCTAAACCAAATGCTATCTACCAAATAATATTAAGTTTACTATTACTGCTAAGTTGTACTGCCAAATTTATCAATGTCTTTAACTTTAGAAATATATGATGATAAGGAGGAACCCGTCATGTGTCAATCTCTAGTATATGTGTGAAATGATAAACAAACCTTTACAATTTCTTCCTTCTTTTTTTTTAATGATTTCGTTCTTTCATCTGATTTTCTTTTTTCATTTCGTTAAAGGTTTGTTGACGTTGTTCTTGGTCTTTAGTTTCTCTGCTTGATCCTCTCTTCAGAAATTCTTCAAAAGTTAAAGTTTTTAAGCCACCATTTGCATTATTTGACATTTCCTTGGGCTTTGTAAGATTTCCGTCTTTTAATGCTGAGCCACAGGAATTGCAAAAATTTTCATTGCTGTTAACACATAGGTTTCCGCACGATGGACAAAACATCTATATATATATATATATATATTATATTATATATATATATTATATATATATATATTGCAGTTAATAAATTAAATTTTTATAACTTTATTGACGCCTCATCATATTAATACAATGTAATATTAATTAATACAGTTTTGGTCAAATCAATTGGGAAGTACACAAGCAGATAAAATGTTTATATTTAAAAGAGATCATTCCCAAACTAAAACAAAAAAACTTGCTTATATGCGCAAAACCTAATTCTAGTACAGTACATGATGGGGAATGTGTACCACCTATCATCCAATGTGAATTTATTATACAACTAATATACATATACATTTGCATAAAAATGATGTTGTGATTTGTGCCAATTCTAAGTTGTGAACACTACGGTACGCTGCGCAAATATATTTCCAAAAAGTATAAAAATGGAAGGAAATGCCCATAAAAATAACTTTTAAAGGTTTTTTAAAATCAAAGCTTACCTTATTTGCAAATTTGATACAAGCCAGATTGGAAGAACCACGTGTTTGTCATGGCGCTAATGCTTGCACTCAGCGAAAATAGGCTTCCTTTTACTGACAGGGTATGTCTGTACCAGTCTGTACTTCCTTTTTCTCCGCGTTCAAGTTGTTGGTTTTGCGTTAGTGTTTTGAGTTTGCGTTCGTGTTTTGAATTTGCGTTCGTTTTTTGAATTTGCGTTCGTGTTTTGAATTTGCGTCTGTGTTTTGAATTTGCGTTCGTGCTTTCATGATTTGCGTTTATGTTTTTTGAATTTCGTTTGTGTTTTGAATTTGCGTTTGTGTTTTGCACCTCTGGGCCACCGTACTAATGTCTAGAAAAATGGACTAAATTTATTCAAAGTACCAATATTTTATACCTCATATAGTAGAGATAACGTTCCTAATATGTTACAAAGCACATTTAGTACTTTAATTCGGATGGCCGTCCTCTTCACATCTAAAAAAATTCCCATTAGCATAAGACTGAGGCTACATAAAAATACATCATGAACTTAAACAAAATCAAAAACCAAAATATTACATTATTACAAAATTTTGTCCTCAAAGAAAGTCATAAAATTGTTAGCTAGATTCTGATCAGATTGGCACACAGGATATTAAGAATCAGGGGTATGATGTAGAAACTTTCCAATGGTTTTAAATAATTGCCTTTGGTCACTCCCATTATCTCTAACAATTTCAGAATAGTAACGAGTACGACTTTCCGATAATAGCTCACTGACACGGCGACATGGCTGACTGTATTTTAGACGATCACAGGATTGTTTTGACTTACGCCATACCCGCTCGAGTTTTCTTCTGATACGTTTTTCGTTTTTAATTTGTTCAGTGTACCAAGGTGCAGCTGGACGACTAATTATCTCTCTGGTGATAAGTGGTGCATGATAATCCAGAATTCTGGACAGCTCTGAGTTGTATTGGTTGACTTTCGCACTAATATCAGCCGTGTCCTAGTGATAATCGGAGATAGCCTAATGTCATTAAAGAATGAGTCCATATTGATTTCTTTAATTTTACGCGACTCACGACCCTTCTCTGAAACAATGTTTTTTAAAATTGAGTTCACATGTAACCGTGTAATGGTCAGATATAGATGGATCATGAACGTCAATAGATTGAACAATATTTCCCTCATGGCAAGACAAGATAAGGTCTAACGTGTGACCAGCAATGTGTGTTGGTTGTTGTACATGTTGTTCGAGATTAAAAGAATCAACAAGATTGAGAATTTTTGTTGTTGTTATATCCGACTTATCGTCTACATGGAGGCCAATATAATACGATTATATTTAGTATTTGAGGTAACACATTGATTTGCATACCCATCAGTTCGAAAGACTTAATGTGTGTGAACATGTTCGCCGAGTCCAGAGCTTGACTTTTAAGTGTTATTGTATAATATACCAATGCCTCCCCATCTACCTTGTTGTCTCGAGATATGTTTAAAGAGTAGCCCTTCGGGGTGAAATTTCCAATAGATATAAGATCAAATTTGTCAGGGTGAAGCCAGGTTTTTGTAATCGCAAATATATCAAATTCATTCTCAACCACATAGTCTTTGACTAAATTGGCTTGTTTCGAATAAACCGGCAGTTGAGAAGACCAAAAGAACAAAGCTGAGTAACAGCTGTATCAGGAGTGTTGGCAATTTTGAATGTAAAGGATATTGATGAGATTGTTCTCTTAATTAATATCATTTCTGCCATATATGTTTACAGGCTGATGATTTGCATGATGATAGTGATGTATAGTGTCGCGGAGGTGTTTGCCAAGTAGGTATTATAGAAAATATTTCCTATAGGTCATATGGAACAACCAACCTTTCTGTAGATTCAACTGCCCAAGCATCGAACTAAGCTCCTCAGGATTTTAGCGGGTCGAAACGTGTTCATCAAACGTGACTGCTTTCGATGTTGAGACATTTTATCCGACTGATTATTATCAAAAGATTGAGGACCAGGATTAGACGAAACATCCACACACATTGATAGATCCTTCTTAAAAGGCTTCGCACATAGGACTAGACTAACAAATCAATGTTTCGTTTCTTTAGCAATCGCAAATGAGACTTTGTATTTAGATTCAAAACCAACTCGTTGTATGTTGACCCGACATCGAAAAGCAATATCTCTACAAATACTCAAGGTTATGCCATCCGCAGCCATTCCGTCCAAATCCATGAAATTAGCATTCTTAAATGCCATATTAATTGGTCGAGATGTACAAAACTCGTTAGATAAAATAAATATCTTAAAAAAATATATAGAGCTACCGATCAACCGCCATATTGATCGTGAATTAAGCAGTATGGAAACACAATATTCATTTCCATACACGAAAAGGTGGCGATTCAATGATAACATCTCGTTATCAGCTTTAGATATTTTCTTTAAAAACTTGTTTAACGATTCGGAAAGAAGCAAACGGGAACGAGAAGAAGAAGTTGTGAAATGATTGTAAGTGTGTTTATTTCTATTTAAACCCGACAACTTTACTTGTTCAGGGAAAGGCATGTTAGAGTTGTTTGCTAGTAAAAACTATGTACACACCTTGGTTGTGGTGGACAAAATATTGAATCATTGGTTATTTTTAGTGTAGATCACTAGCTGCCTGTGAAGGAACACACAAAATTTTATTAGAATGCTTCAAAAACAGCTGGATTGAAGGTTTTCAAACTTAAATGATCTCCCCAGTGGCAAATTGATTGTTCGAATCTTACCATAACCCTGTTTCATTATAAATTCGTGAAATAGATAAAGTAAATTAAATGAACATGGCCGTTCAGCACAATAACTTGTACTCAATTGGCGAAGACAATGGTCCCAAAGTGGTAAATCGATGGTTCGAATCCTACCATAGCCGTTTTTCATTATAAATTTCGTGAAAAGAAATGCAGTAAACTAAGTATAACCATAGCCATTCCCCACAAGATCTTGTAGGCCAGTAGCTAAGACAACTGTCTCCCAAGTGGTAAATCGATGGTTCAAAACCTGCTATGCCCTTTTCATTATGAACTTCGTGAAAGGATAAAGTAAACTAAATAACCAAGACCATCCAGCACAAGACCTGGTGCTCTAGTGGCGAAGACGATGGTCTCCCAAGTGTTAAATCGATGGTTCGAATCCTACCATAACCGTTTTTCATTATGAACTTCGTGAAAAGGATAAATAAATTAAATAACCATAACCGTTCAGCACAAGATCTTGCAGTCTAGTGGCGAGGACCCAAGTGTTAAATCGATGGTTCGAATCCTACCGAAACAGTTTTTCATTATGAACTTTGTGAAAAGGATAAATAAATTAAGATAACCATAACCGTTCAGCGCAAGATCTTGTAGTCTAATGGCGAAGACAATCGTCTTCTAAGTAGTAAATCGATGGTGCGAATCCTGCCATGACCTTTTTTTTTATGAACTTCGTGAAAAGAATAAAGTAAATTAAATAACCATCTCCGCTCAGCACAAGACCTTGCAGTCTAATAGCTAAGACAACTGTCTCTTAAGTGGTAAATCGATGTTTCGAATCTTGCCAAAACTACTTTTTATTATAAACTTCGTGAAAGGATAAAGTAAACTAAATAACCATGGTCATCCAGCACAAGACCATGTGCTCTAGTGGCGAAGACGATGGTCTCTCAAGTGTTAAAATCGATGGTTCGAATCCTACATAACCGTTTTCATTATGAACTTCGTGAAAAGAATAAAGTAAATTAAGTAAATATAACTGTTCAGCACAAGAACTTGCAGTCTAGTGGCGAGGACGATGGTCTCCCAAGTAGTAAATTGATTGTTCGAATCCTACCATGACCGTTTTTCATAATGAACTTCGTGAAAAGGATAAAGTAAACAAAATAACCAAGACCATCCAGCACAAGACCTTGTGCTCTAATGGCGAAGACGATGGTCTCCCAAGTGTTAAATCGATGGTTCGAATCCTACCGTAACCGTTTTTCTTGATGAACTTCGTGAAAAGGATAAATAAATTAAATAACCATAACCGTTCAGCACAAGATCTTGCAGTCTAGTTGCGAAGAAAGCGATTCAAGCATTGTCAGATAAGTTTGAACACATGACTGCTGTTATATCACAAGTTCGGGATCTTATGGGTAAAAACGATGATAGCATTATACGAGAAACATTGCTTCTAGCTGCTGAATATACAAAGTTCCATGTAGAACATTCAAATGAAGTGTTTGTTGGTGATGTAAATGAAGTAGATAGCGATAGTAAGCCCACAAATAGGAAACAATTAGCGAGCACTGAGTCATTGAAATCGCTAGGAATTGTGATTACGAGCAACAATGAGAATACCAACTTGTTGAGTGAAAATCCCGCTAGTTCGAACCAAGACCAGGCCTTAAGTCCCGAAAATAACAAAGATATTGTAATTATTGACAGTCCAGTTGAGACCAATAAACAAGCTGAAAATGACAAGTTAACGTATGCTAAAGCTGCCGGATCAAAGCCGGTCTTAAATCCCACAAATGGAAATGCTCTAAAACCACAACAACATTTTACCACTAAGCATAACAATAGTAGGATTAGTGCTGATGGTTTTGTAGGAGTAGAGCGTAGGCGAAACCAAACAAAGAGAATATTCCTATCTGGAATTGCAAGCAGCGTGAATGAAAAACATATCCAATCCTACCTTACGCAGCGAAATATAAATCCAACATTTATTTCGGTCTTTCCCAGTAAACGTGAGAGAACGGTATCGGCCAAGGTACACATCCCCCCCGCTGATTTCCCTCTTCTACAGCAAAAAGATTTCTGGCCCAAATTTGTGAGTTGCCAATTATGGAAATCTAAAGAAGCTTTGCGAAAACCAATAAAGCAAAAGCTGTAAACCAAAAGCAAATCACCCCAAGGTGAAAACTCCTCAACTTCTGAATAATGGCTCAGATTTCAATTAGAATTTCTCCTAGCAATCGCGTAAATAAACGAAACAGACGCTGTCCTTATTCGAATCCTTCGAATTTGATTCATATTAAGAGATTGCCTGAACATTCCCTTTTGGTTAATACACGAAAGCAAGAATTTGTCCCGTCATTATTGTTGTCCAACACAATGTCGCTCGCTCCTAAACTTGATGAAATTGTGGAAACCATATTGACGTTAGACATTGACATTGCTATGTTTACAGAGACATGGTTAAAGGAATCAATACCAAATGAAGCAATTAATATTCCTAATTATCAATTGTTGAGACGAGACCGAGTTCATAAATTACATGCAGGTGTCGGTCTATACGTGAAGTCATCAATATTTTGTCGACAATTATTAGATATGCAAAGCAAAAATGTGGAAGTGTTGTGGGCTCTGCTACGTCCTTCTCGCTTACCTAGAGGGTTTCATCAACTTATAGTAGGTGTAGTTTATCGCCCAGAGTTTGGAGAATCTTTTTTTCACCACTAGGCTACGAGATCATGTGCTGAACGAGAATGAGTATTTAATTTGCTATATCTTTTTCACGAAGTTCATAATGAAAAACGGTTATGATAAGATTCGGACCATCGATTTACCATTTAGCAGACCACTGTCTTCACCACTAGACTACGAGATCATGTGTTTAACGCCTGCGATTATTTTATTTACTTTAACGTTTTCACGAAGGACATAATGAAAAACGGTTATGGTAAGATTCGAACTATCGATTTACCATTTGAGAGATCATTGTCGTCACCACTAGACAACGAGATCATGTGCTGAACAGCTATTTAATATTTGATTTACTTTAACCTTTTCACGAAGTTCATGATGATAAAACAGTTATGGTAAGATTCGAACCATCGATTTACCACTTTGGAGACCATTGTCTTCACCACTTGACTATGAGATCATGTGCTGAACGGCTAAGATCATTTGATTTACTTTAACGTTTTTGACAAAGGACATAATGAAAAAGGGTTATGGTAAGATTCGAACCATCGACTTACCACTTCGAAGACCATTGCCTTCACCACTAGACTACAAGATCTTGTGCTAAAGTGCTATGATTATTTAATTTACTATATCTTTTTCACGAAGTTCATAATGAAAAAATGGTTATGGTAAGATTCGAACCATCGATTTACCATTTGGGAAACTACTGTCTTCACCAATAGACTACGAGATATTGTGCTGAACGGCTATGATTTTTTGATTTATTTAACGTTTTTGACAAAGGACATTATGCAAAAGGGTTTTGGTAAGATTCGAACCATCGACTTATCACTTCGGAGACCATTGCCTTCACCACTAGACTACAAGATCATGTGCTGAAGGGCTATGATTATTTAATATACTTTATCTTTTTCACGAAGTTCATAATGAAAAAACGGGTATGGTAAGATTCGAACCATCGATTTACCATTTGGGAGACCATTGTCTTCACCACTAGACTACGAGAACATGTGCTGAACAGCTATTATATTGATTTACTTTAATGTTTTGACAAAGGTCATAATGAAAAAGGGTTATGGTAAGATTCGAACCTCGAACCATTGACTTACCACTTGGGAGACCATTGCCTTCACCACTAGACTACAAGTTCATGTGCTAAAGGGCTATGATTTTTTAATTTACTCTATCTTTTGACAAAGTTCATAATGAAAAAAGGTTATGGTAAGATTCGAACCATCGATTTACCATTTGGGAGAATTCTGTCTTATCCACTAGACTACGAGATAATGTGCTGAACGGCTATGATTATTTGATTTGCTTTAACGTTTTTGACAAAGGACATAATGCAAAAGGGTTATGGTAAGATTCGAACCATCGACTTATCACTTCGGAGACCATTGCCTTCACCACTAGAGTACAAGTTCATGTGCTGAAGGGCTATGATTATTTAATAAATAAAGTCATAATGAAAAAACGGGTAT